TAAAAGCATTAAGTTTATTAGAAGTTTTTATTAGGCTATTAAAATATTTACCATGTAAGTGAAATAAAAAAATTTCCAACTTTTCTAATTGGCGACAAAATGATTCAAAATTTACAATAAATCGTTCATTTGGCAATAATATCTTGTTATGCCGTCTAACTGCAGCATCGCTTGCGAAACGAATCAGTTTAAGCCCATCATCGATCAGTTTATCCTCATCAACACCTTTTATAGACCCCGATGTTTCTTCAAAAAGGATCTCTTGGTCACCATCAGCCGTTTCTAATTTGATTGAATGATCCGGGCGTCGAACGTTGATAGTGTGCCAACTTTCGGCTCTCGAATCTGCTTTACTATAATATAGTCTCTCTTATTGCTTTTGCAACTGTTTACGCAGTCCTGAACTTTCTGAACCTTTTTCTCCTCTTTAAAATATTAAAATACATAGGGTAACTACAATTAAAAAACAAGCTTAAGTACTACACCGAACGTGCTTTGTCGTTTTACATATACCAGGATTTTGATTGAGCTTAAGAAGCTCAATCAAAGGTGTCGTAAATAATATCTCCCATGTCCCCTCGTTCAACTCATTCAGGTCTTTTCGTTCCCAAATATTCGTTCTAATAATTGTTTTAATTTATAAATATAAATTATACAATATATAATATAGCAGTTTGGAGATACTTACAAAATAATAAAAATCTCTGTCACAAACTCTTGAAAAACTTGATTTTCACCTTCTCTCATTAATTGTCTAATTCTTAGCCGACTCTTACGTTGTTCGTAACAAGATTGAATATATTGAATTTGTTTTGTATCCAACTTGGAATTATATTTTTGAGGGTTTTGCGCAATTTGGTTCCATTCATTTACAGTAAATTGACATCTCAAAAATTCACACTTTGATACATCTACAACGTATGAAAGCAATGGATCATTCCATCTCATCTTCATGATATGTTCACGAGTTAATCGATTGCAAATTTCAAATCGTACGTCTAATTCTTTTCCCTCAGTATTAGTTATGATCCAGTTAGAATTTTTCTGTTTAGGACTCTTAATCAAATATCTTGTAAGTTCCAGAGAATATTTGTAATATAAATACTTACTTGTAAACTCAAGAAATTTTCCCACACAATCTCTCGCGCAGACTCTTCTGATGGTTGTTTACGTTTTTTTTTTTGTTCTAAGCTTATCGATAAGGAAACTATTAACTTTGTATATTTGTTAAGAATTTGTAATCTAGAGGATCTAGAGGCCGAAAGTTGGTCGGATATTAATTGTCCATAAGTTGTAAATAAGTCTTTTACTTTTTGTAGGTTTCTAGTCTGTCAGAAAAAAACAATAGTAATAATATTAGCAGGATTCGAAAGGCTTAGATTTTTTTTTTGCTTATTCTGGGTTTCAAAATATCTATGGAAGGTATAAGCTGATCACTTCTTTGCTAACACAGGTATAAACAGCCACAGATATTGAAAATTTGAATAATCAAGGAAAAGTGGGAAATTTTTTTATTTCACTTACATGGTAAATATTTTAATAGCCTAATAAAAACTTCTAATAAACTTAATGCTTTTA